TATATATATATATATATATATATATATATATAAAGAGAGAGAGAGATATTGAAGAATAGATCAATCGACAAAATAACAGCAGCACAAATAGTCCATCTCCTTAAAATGAATCAAGCTGAGTCACAAGGTGAGTTGAGTATAAATTTCTGTTTGAAATCAAACAATTACGTGCAGAATATTTTTAAAAAGAGAGTGTTTTGAAGTTTTCCCTTCAAAATATATCCATCTGATGTGTGTACATATTACATAAAACCAAAAATTTGATCTCAAAAAGGATTTGGTGTCACAAGAATTAAGGTAATAACTTGGGATGAAAAGCCTTATTTATTGGCAATCACTGAGTCAGAGTGGTATGTAAGATCAAGGATCACACCACAGTGGAAAACAAAGCAATAATGAATCAAATATATGTAGCTAATTGATCACATGGCTTTGACTCAATAGGCTAAAGCTGCATGATTCAAAATTTTCTGGATTTTGTACATGAAATAAGCAACAACTCTAAAAGGCTTGATTTCATAAGTTCTTGTTAAGAGCAATAGAAGGCCTAGACCCTCCTAGGAAACTCCCTCTTTTGCTTAGTACAAATGCAAAAGACCCCCTTGAAGCTTTCTTTGATATTGTAGCCTTTGGACTGTACAATATTCTGTGATGACTATCCAAGCCTCCCCCAAAACTTTTGCATGATTTCATTCTCTTTTTATAAGGTGTCCCTTTCTTGGGAAGATCTTCTATGCTCTCCACCCTAGCTAAAGAAGTGAAAGATTGTGCCTTCCCTTGATAGAACATAGATAACCCTCTCCTGCAAAGGTCATATATAAACTACTTAACACAACAACTTATATATATATATATATATATATATATACACCAATTCTAAACAATGAAGATGATGATAATCTGTGCATATGTCTTTGTTTGTAAAGATTACGAATCTCCTTCATAAAAGACAATCTTGTTCAAGTTAGATATTTAAACGTAACAACATATTCAACATTCAAACACGAAATCACTGATGAAACCGAAACAAATCCATACCAGTTGATCTATTCGCTACGTCTATGTTTAGTAAAAGGAAATTGAACAAAATTGAGAAAGGCAAGAGGGATGAATGAATCGCTTACTTTATAGGGAGATGGTTCATGAGATCTGAGAATTCATACAAAGGTCCATTTGAATGTGTTGATGACGAAGATGCTGAAGAGGATGCGTCCTCCGTCAACTCTGATGAAGAAGAAGAAGAACGCAGAGAGTCCATTGAGTCTTCTGAGAACAACCCAATGGATGATGAATCATTGCTATCTTCACCATCTTCCTTAATCACATCACCACCCATCATTCTCTTCACATTCATCTCTAGAAAAAAATTCTTTGCCTTACCATTCATTTTATGTATATATATATCAAGAAGAAAGAAATGAATGACAGCTAGATATGGAGCAGTTATGTTGAAGTGATAAAATATTGGGTCTTATATACACACAAGATCACCAAAAGAAGATTTGGATAACATTGACCAATTTAATTGTTTCTTTATATTGCACACTTAGATTTTGTATTTGAATAATATAGTACTAATAATAAATTTTTGGCATTATCAGATCACGTTATATTTATATGGTGCACAATTGATAACTTGTATGAGACAGCTAAGATAGAAGATAAGGTCTAAATTTGAAGACATCCAATTCATGTTCTGAGTCACCGTTTATTATTTTTGGATGGTGAAACTGAGGTCCACATCTCGCCAACTTTGCTTCATAAAGCCACGACAGATAAAGTATATTCCCACCTTTTGATGCGTCTCTATCACACATGCGTGAAAGCAAAAGAAATTCAACCAAATAAAGGAATTAATTCAGAATTGTAAAAGTTAAGATTAAGATAATTGGGTTTCATCTATTCATGCTAAGAATGTTATTTATAGAATGTTTCTCCTAACAGATTCAACATTTTCTGTGATAAAATAAAAGTAACCCCCAAACATCTAGGGAGGTTAAGGTTATATTTTTCAAAAATGTTAAATTCTCTGAATTTTTTTAAATCCGAAACATCTTCCAAACGTTTAAAACTTTTAAAAGGTCAAATGTGTAAGTTGACTAACTTGAATCTTTTATGTGCTCGGAGAAAATTTTGGACAATTGATTGAGAGTATATAGTATTATTCTATATTTTTTATTTTTATGTTGTTACATGTAAATTGATAGGAGTTATCTAGGTGCTTTTTGATAAGTAAACTAGAAGATTACTATAAAGAATTTTTTTTTTTTAATTTTTAATTTGAACATGAGCTAAAAGTATAATTTTAATTTTATATGTGTGGCCTCAATTAGAATGAGTTATATCTTATTAAAAAAAATAAAAATATTATTTATAATTTCGAATACTTTCGCAAAATGTTAGTTAATCTCCTCTATTTTTTAAGCTAAATTTGAGAATGAAGTTTTTGGACCTTTTAGTGCAAAGTATGCACGATAAACACTACTCTTTCTTCTCTCTCCTTAAAATGTGTATTGAATTGACAAGCTATTCAAAAGTTAATTTCTTCTTCTTCTTTCTTTCTTTTTTTTTTTTTTTTCCCTAAACTTGTTGTCGTATGTTGCTTGCTAAGATATTCGACCCACGTGGACTAACCTCATAGATAGATCGGAATTCGTGGGCATTTTGCAATTGGTTTGAACCTTTTGCCCCCATCGTCCAAACATTAATCATCCATGCATCCTTCTCTGTCAAATCATATTGCTCATAAAATCACCTCTTCTTTATTAATACAAGAAGGGGCCACTTAGGGGTATTTTACAATTTTTCTTCTTTTAATTTTCTCAAAAATGTTAGTATTGTACTTTTTAATACTCTCTCTACATATTTTTCATTAAGTGAAAATTTAACCAAGTTTTATTCTTTATTTAGTGGTTCTAGTCCCAAGCTAAAGAGATCTACGTGGATTTTAACTAAAAAATATTATTTAACGAATATTAACGAGATCTTTACTCTACTAATTATTTATTAAATATTTTTAGAAAAATAATTAACATAAAAGATTATTTAAAATAATATTTTTGATTCTGGTCTTATGTCTTAATAATTATATCAGAAAAAAGAGTTGTGAACTATTATTACTCCTCTTATAAGTATTATTTAGGGTCCTCTCCATATTATCACAAAAAGAGTATATATATTTATTTTAATGACAAGACAATATCTATTGTTATTTTAGAATGAGCTGGATTGGTACGAGAAGATAAGGAGATTGACTTGGTCACAACTCACACTAGTCATGAATGATGATCGTGTGGTGTTTGGATATGAACAATACCACTTCCCACCACATGTTTATATCCTATGGTTTTGGATCGCAGTTGCCACTTGCTACATGTATTCATTCACTAGTGTTCAATTGAAATTTTCATAAACATGAAATTAATAATAATTTAGTGTCTTTGCAAAATCTTATCTGTGTCCACGATTGATTGGATTATGACGCTGTTTTAATCCATTGATTGAAGCAACGGCCACTGGTTCAATGTTTGGTCCCCTCATAGATTGTCGCCATTGATCCCATCCATTTTAGCTTCCCTTTCCTTCCAAAAGTGCACAAGCAGAAAAGACATTAATTAGCATTAATTTAGTAATTAATTGACCCCATTCATCAAGGGTGTTTCGGTTAAGGAAAAAGAGAGTTCAACGTGCCATATTTCCACACTCCACATCCATCCACCAAAATGATTAATTATATCTACAAGTATGATTCATTTTATTTTATAACATGTGGTTAAGAGCAAATCAACGTAATTATTAATATGTGATTAATAGGGTGATGAAATTATTGAAACTAGTATAGCCACTAGAATATCGCACGAGATACTTGATTTAAAAGATAATTTATATCATAATATATAACTAATAAAGTAAATTATATGTTTATTAGTTTAATGTGTTATCCTGTAAACATAGATTAATTTTTTATTGTCAATTTTAAGACACGGTATAAATTATATTCATGAAAAAAGTGTATTTTTTTTATAGTTTTAAAATATTGTTATTTTAAGTTTATAATAGAAAAAATAGATTATATAGATTTTATAAGTTAATGTATATAATAATGATTTTGATATATTTATTAAATTTATTATAATTAATAAATATGATATTTGAAATAATTACTTACTAACATTAACATATAATATTGTCTCTATTAAAAAAATGAATTATTTTTTATTTATATCTTATCTCAAATTTTCTTACTATAAATTAAAGTATTTTTTCTCAATGATTTTTCAACAAAATTAAAATAAATTTTATAAATAAAAGGATAATAATTTATTGTAAAATATATTTAAAAAGGTAATATAACCAAGTTAGCAAAGCATTTTGTTTTTATGATGTTTTGAGATTTTCATCCTTTATGTAGTCAACTTAATAATCAAATAATTGATGCAAGAAAATGAGCTATTTTCAAATAATCACAAATTAACTCATTGAAATGTTGATAAGAAAATAAGAGAGAGAGAGAAATAAATTGTAAAACCTACTATATTTATTCAATTTGTTTGGATGAAATTCATAGATTTTCAACCACAAGAAAATAGTAGAGAAGACAAAAAAAAATGCAATAAAGTTATTAATAATGTGCATTAAGGTAAGCCAATTGACTTTGAATATGAATGGTGAAAAAAAAATTGATAGGTGAATGGAGAGATATGATGGGTAAGGTGAATATAAAAGGGAGTGAGGGTCACAAAATATTTGTAGAGATCTTGTAGTAATTAATTACCTTGTCCTATTGAAGAAATGTAGTAGAAGAAAAAATTGAATGGTGGATGAAGATGTAACAGGAAAGGTGAGTTTGAAAAAGAATGAAAATGAAGAAAACTCTGTACAAATTTAGGAGCAATTTCCTAGAATCATTTAACTAATATAGGGGATGAAAAAAATAAAAAGTTAGACAATATACTATCATCACACCCACATATATTATTAAAGGTAGAATACTCTTCTCACTAATTATATGTGCATTTTTTTTTTATGATAATTCAATTTTTTTTGAAAAATAATTTGTATTTAATTGGCATAATTTAATTTATTAATACTAATAAATTTATTTTATAATTAATAGAAAACATTTGAATTTTAAAAGCGTAAAAAAAATTTTCAGAAAAAGAATGGGTCCAAAGTAGTTTTGAGCATAATTTTTTTTTTTGAAGAATGTTCTACCTTTGATAATCTGTGTGTGTGCTCTCATAATAGTTTTTATCAAGATAATTTATTTTCTCTAAATAAAAAAATGATATATGTTAAAAAAATATATTTATTTGCATTAAATTTTACTATTCTCATAATATCTTTTCTAAATTAATATCTTTATTATATATACCAAAATAAGTAGTGCAACTAAAAATCATGCATTAAAAATAGGTATTTAAGAAGAAAAAAATATCACTAAATGAGACAAAAGTAGTTAAAATTTGTTTATATTCAAGAACAAAAATTTGTTTTTTTTTTCTTGTTTATAATAGAGAATAAAGAGAGTAACTTTTATTATAAGTAGTTAACAGTATTACAAGTTATTAATCGTTACACATACATTGTTAACTCCTGTTTGGATCTATATATATGAAAGAAAAAAAAATTAATTTTACATAGATTAAGAAAGATATTTAAATGCATTTAATATTCAATATTTCATATAAAATATATACTGCATTTACTAAAATATCCTTATGCATTAATTGTAGATAGTGCTTTCATTTATTGTCTTAGAGATATTTTTGGATTGATAACATTAAATAAAATTGTCTTAGTTGAAGTTTGCTTATATTTGAGTAAAAAATATTTAAGTACTTTTTTACTTATACATAGATCCAGAAGGAATAGATGTGCAAAACTAGTTAACTTTATCCAAAAGTAATTAATAATAAATAAATTTAATCATATAAAGAGGTGATAAAGCATATTCGTTTACCTTACCATTAACCTTTTAAAAATAAGATGGGTTGGATTGAAAATCCTAACCTGGCCCCAAGATTTAACGCGGCTGCATACACAAGGCAGGATTCGAACTCCTGACCTTGCTTAAGCGTGGATCAACCCCTACCGCTGAACCACACACTTGGGGTTATTCTTTTAAGATTTTGATTTCAATATTAATTTAAATTAATAAATTTAGTTAAATAATTTAAAGTATTGATATTTCCATCTATTTCATTTTTTATGACATTTAAGGTTTTGACATGAGATTTCACAAATACAATTAATATGTTTGATTTCATAAATAAATTATATGACTTTTCAATATATCTTTAAATATTTTAGATTATCATTAATAATTAAAGAATGCATCAATAATGATTAAAGGTATAACAGGTTATTCTTTACTCTGTCCGTAAATAAACTACATTATATATATATATATATATATATATATATATATAAGTAATAAATAATTATGATTTAAGAATTTTATACACATGTTAAAATTAAAAATAACAATAAATTTTTATTCTTTATATGGGACAATTTTACTAAAATATTTTTTATCGTCTCATAAATACATTATTTTTAACTTTAGTGTATAAAGAGACAAATTAAGAAAAACAAAATTTAATATTATAAGAAAATATCAACTATTTTAAAACTTTTCTTAAATGCTAAAATTACAATACTTTTAAAAGTTAAAGTGATAATTTTTTGACAATCAAGTAGTCACTTTTAATCAATTAATTAAATTATTTGATTTAATTTAATTGATAATTTGAATGATTAAATTATATGTGTTAATTATTAATAATATTAATTGAATAATTTTGATACCGTACTTTCCTATAATAGTTAGTTAAAATAATTAATTAAATTATTTGAGTGTAACTACTTGTTTAAATATTTTGTTATAAATTTTATTTAAATGAATTATTGATAGATTCATTTTATTTTTAAAATTTACTGAATAATAAATAATTATTACTATTTTTATATAAAAATTAAATTATTAAAATTTAATATTTTAATGACTAATATAATAATAATTGCAAAATAATATATATATATATATATATATATAAATTTTAACAAAATTGTTTTCATGAGTTTATGTGAAATATTTTTTTGAAGATCAAAGAAAAATTCTTATTACTCATATTCAGTAGAATACAAGATGTGTAATATTGATCCAGTATGTGAAATATATATAACTACTTCTTAATAAAGTTAATTAGTTAAAACATAATTAAAGCGATCAAATAGATTAAAATCAAACCATTTAATTAATCGATTAAAGTTAACTTTTTTATATTACATCATATTAACATATTATATACTTTATGATTAATCTATATTAACGATTTAGATTTGTGTATAGTGTTAATCAATCATATATCTTTTAAACCTTAAACCCTAAACCCTAAACATGTTAATGAATCATATATTTTTTAAAATTAATAATAAATTACTATTATTATTTTCACTTTACATACTTTCTTACTGAATAATTACCTTTTATTTTTTACTGATATAACAATAAATAGATTATTATTTATTTATTTTAATTAAAAAGATATAATAATTATTATTTTCACTTCATGTACTTTACTACAGCACGTATAGTGCATGGAGGTTCTGTATTTTGGTATGCCCTTGCTTAAATTTCCACGTGTAAAATGGACCACGCACAAAAATGATGAAATGGCCCTACCCACATTCTTTTTGTCGTTTGTTCATAATTTGATATCACAATGTACACTTTTTCCAAAATTAAAAATCATATATATAATGTAAATATCATATTCATGAAATAGGTTATATGGGATAAAAATTAGTTTATAAGTTAGTTAGATACTTATAAGTTATAAGTTGAAAATTGAAAAGTTAAAAAACTATAAATTACAATTGCGTATCATAGTTAACTATGATAGATTTTTTTAAGAGTTAATCACTTATACACTATTAATATAAAAAAAATTTATACTAACAATTAATTATATCTTTTAATTGTGTTATGTTATTGTTAAAAATAAATGTGTTTACAGTGATATGATACAATTAAAAGATATAATTAGTTGTCAATGTAAAAAAAATTTACATTGACAGTATATAAGTAATTAACTATTTTTCTAAATGATATTTCAATTAAAATTAATCACCCCAAAGGGGTTTGGCCTAGCCTATAGTGGAAGTGTGCTTGGCTGCAAGGTATGAGAGTATGTATAAGATGCGAAAAGTATCCCCTTTAGAAGGAGATTTACCCATGTTGCACTAATCATCAGGATTTGTTTAAAGATCATATATATATATTAGACATAGTTAATTATAAAATGTTTTATAATTAATTATTAGATTTGTTTTACCATTTTAGTTATAGTTGGATTTGTTTATTACTTTTTTCGATTGATTCAAGAATGAGTTCTAAAGATCCTAAGAAAAATAACATGAAAGATATCCTTTCCATGAAGAAAAAAAATGTGATTTACAAGTTAAGGACGAGTAGGAAACATGTACCATTAAAAAAAATGAGGGTAATGAAATTTAAAAATTCAAAGGACGAACAACTGTTTAATTCTTATATGCTTATTGTCTGCAACAACTCCCAACATGGGGTTGACGAGATGCAGATTATAATTGTAAATAGAAAAAAAATAGTGCCCAAAATTTGTTCTCAGATCTTGAAAATTAAGATCTTTGTCTACAGACCCTGATCAACAAGGTAATCTCCCAACCTTTCAACAACCATATTGCATTGTCCTGGAGTAACAGGTTCATCGTACATTCCGAAAACTAGAGCTTGACCAGTTTTCTTTATGGTGATACCTCCAGATCCCTATATCCAACAAAAGCATAGAAGGAGTCAGAAATCTTGAAACAGAGCAATTATATATAGGAAAACTACTTTTAGATAGGTGAAACAATCTAGTAGAATTAATGCTAAGAACTTTCAAAAGTAATTTGTGCTTTTCTCTCATAACATGTACCGTTATGTATTTTTAAGGAAAAGAAGAGGATTGAAACATGTGAGTTTAAGTAAGTTAGTATAGTGGCAAAACGAAGCTTTGAATATAAGTTATACTTATACAAATATCTTATTAATAATTATTTTTATAGATTACAGATATCTTTTATCGAAGGCAATTCTAATTGAGTCATATAAGATTATGAAATGAAGAATTCAATATTAATAATGAGTAGGAATCTTTTTGAATATAAGTTAGAGTGCAGGAGAAGTTGAGTTAATTAATTACCTTCTTCCCACGAATGACTGCTCCTGGCTCTCCCTGGATTACCATGTATTTGGTGCCTCCAAGGTGGAGGCCAGTAGGAGCAAGATAGCCTGGTTCGTCGAAATCTTTCATCATACCATTCACCTCATCAGCCTTAAACTAAAAATCAAGAACCATAGGTAAGGGCAGATGAGTACGTAATCTCACATGAAAGCAATTAATATTATAAATCTCACATTAATTAGGTTTTTCACATTATAATTCTTTCTCTCAGACACTAATCTCGCTTGTAATACTAATGTGGCTTGTCATGTTGAGATTGTTGCTAGCGAGACAAGTTTTCAATGTTATTATTGCATGCATGCATGCATGAATATATATACGAATTGAATGGGTTAATGAGAGGAAATAAAGATAAAGATGAAAGGGTTACCTGAGGGAAGGAAGAGCTCTGAGCCCAAATGGAGCCGTCGTGGCCGACGATGGCAGCGGCGGTGAGGTGGTGGCCAGTGCCATCGATGTCGCACATCAAGTGCTCGTCTACGTAAGTTTGCCACGACATTTTCTTTCTCTCTTTGCTTATTTATTTATTTATCTCTTTTGCTTATTGTGAGTGTGAGTTTGGAATGTAGTTTTAAAAGGATGGGATGTGGTCATGACATCACCCTCCATTTTGCTCTCTCTTCAATTCCTGCCATTCAATTTCTCCTTCATTTTAGCACCCCAATTCCCCTCTCTTCATTTCTCATCCTTCCCCAAATAGAACACCTTTTCCTATTTTTATCTCATGCATCCTTTACTTGCTAAAGATACTACATCAATATAACATGCATTATTTTTAGTTTTTATAAAATATTTTTCATTCAATTTTGATTATCTATTTTTTTATATAGTCCACTTGTATTCTCTCTTAAGTGATTAATATTAATACAATTGCATAATTAAACACCAAATTTAAGCCCAAATCTGCATGTTAAATAGGTTATTCCACATATGAAAGCTCGTACACTGAGCTCAAGCTCTAACCAATTTGGATTTTGGAGTGTGTTCTTTTTTCTTCTTTCCCCTTTTCTTCATGATATAAAAGGTTTTTTTTTTTTAATGATACTTGTGTATTTAAAAATAGAGTGTAGTTGTTGCACACTGATAATGTAAAAAGTTTTATGCTGTTAAAATTATGTTTATAAAATTTAATAAATTTATCATATATAACTATTTACTCTTTAAAATTATATCCCCATTATTTTCTTAAAATACATTATGTCCTTGTGTTTAAAGAATACAACAGTATTATGGCCGGTGTTTAAAATCTATGGGCCGAATTCTTAACGGGCTTGGGTCTTTCGTGGGATCAACATTTTTTGGAAGGGTGATGATATATACACTTCTTATTTTCTATAAATACACCTCCAATTTTTTTTAAATAAAATTCTTAAAATATCTTTCTAACTAAATATGATTGCGTTGATGGAAACATTAATTTTAGCATTCCGGAAAATATTTTCCGGAATAGTAAAATTATTGTTCCGGAAGGTATTTTTCGAAAGTGTGTTTCTTATATAATTCCGGAAAGTTTTTCCGGAACATTAAATTTAGTATTCTGGAAAATATTTTCCGGAATTATGTAACAAACACACTTCCGAAAAATACTTTTCAGAATAAAAAAATTACTATTCCTAAATATACTTTCTGGAACAAAAGCTTTATTATTCTGGAAAATACTTTCGGAACAAAAAAGGAGAAAAAATAATTTGGAGGAAAAAATGAATATGGTTTGACACTTTTCCCTTCGATACTGAACCCTCTTACAACTTATAACAAAACTAAAAAGGAAAGAGAATAATGCAGAAATTGAAAAGGGAAAAAAGGGAGATATGGAGGTGCGGAGAAAAAAGTAAAGAAGAAGAAACAAAATTATATAAGAAACACATTTCCGAAAAACTTTCCAGAATAATAATTTTACTACTCCGGAAAATACTTTTCAGAATGCTAAAATTAACATTTCCATCATATTTAGTTAGAAGAACATTTTAAAAATTTTATTTAAAAAAAATTGGAAGTATATTTATAAAAAATAAGAGGTATATATCATCACCTTTTTAGAAATTGTTGAGCCGTTGAGCCCATTTTAAGCATAACCCAAGAAAGAAAATTCACAACTCTAAATTTTAATGTAGGCTAATTTATTATTTTAATGGCTAAACTTTAGCTAATCATTAAATATATAAATGATACCACTGTATATAATCCGAATGAGCATGCACAATATTTGTGAGTTGTGAGATATATCTTTGATTAAAGACAAAAGAAAACGTAATATATATTATATATTTTTTAATCTAATATCTTTTATTTTATCCCTTCTCACTTTTTGGTTTTTCAGTCACAGATAGTTAATTTAAGAGAAAAAAATTATGTACTAAAGTTATTTTATAACATTATTTAATTATAAACTAATATTTATGATAAATTTATTAACTTTTATAATAATTATTTTAGAAATTATATTAATAGTGATTATTATTATTTAATAGTGTAAATTTTTTTACATTAAATTCTCATGATCATTTTAATATTACTAAAATAAATTTTATTCGTAATTAGATAACGACATAAAAACACACATATTTATGCGATATTTTTCACAAAGTTGTGCAATAAATTAAAAGAAATATATAACTCATTATGCTTGAAATGTTTCAGAGGGTTCTAAATAACGAGTTCTACCTAATTATATATTTTCTTCATTTTATAATAAGATAATAAGTGTCATTTTTAATTATTTTATGCAAGTCGATTAAGAAAAATTAATAAATAATAATAATTTTATAAAATTAATTATATTTTTTTCTTTCTAGAAATGATAGATGATGCAACACAAAAATAATTTTTAAAAAATATTACAAGAAGTATAAATAAATAAGATAATTAATATTATATTATATTTATTTATTCTTTAAACAGGAGATTGAGATTTATTATATATATGATGGATTAGAGCTGTCAAAGTGGGCCGGGACCCGTGGGCCAACCCAGCCCACCTTGAAAACGGGTCGGGCCGGGCCAAAAAAATTGAAGTTTTATAGTAGGTGGGTATATTTCAACCCTGCCCACTTTGACCCGGCCCACCCGGGCTAAACCCGTGGTGGGCCGGGTGGCCCACCAACCCACCATTTTTTTTTCAATAAAAATTTGAATATGATTTGTAGTTTATTTTGTATGATGATATATTGAAAATTTTTATTTTAAACTTTTATCATGATTTGTATTTAATTTTGTATGATGAATTATGACTTATAACTATTAATGATGTTAATTTTATGACTATTATGTTAATTTATAATTAATTTAAAATTTTGAATTTTGTTAATAATTTTTTTTTAATTTTTGGTGGGCTGGTGGGCTGGCCCGTATAACCCACCAACCCGTGGTGGGCCGGGCCGGGCCAAATTTTTTTTGAAAAAATTACAAGTGGGCCGGGTTGGGTTGGCTCGTTTTTAAAGTGGGTCAAGGTGGGCCGGCCCACATGGGCCGGGTTGGCCCGTTTTGACAGCTCTA